CTATCTATCTATCTATCTATCTATCTATCTATCTATCTATCTATCTAATTTCATTTTGGCAGAATGTATTGCAAAAATATATTGAAATAAAATAAAATATTGCAAACCTTCCAGTTCTAGTATTCTCAGAACTGAGAAGGCTTCTGGAGTAGATAGAGCAGGGGTGTCAAACTCAAGGCCCGTGGGCCAGATCCGGCCTGCGGGGTGCTTAATCTGGTCTATGGGACCGGCCTGGAAATAGCAAAGAACCAGCCTGCAGTGACTCTGGCAGCCAAAATGGGGTACAGGGTGGGCCTCATGTCCCCCGTTTTCGGCTTCCAGACAGTCTCCAGAGCTCAGGGAGGCCATTTTCGCCCTGCCAGAGGCTCAAGGAAAGCCTCCAGAGCCCAGGGAGGTCAAAAATGCCCACCCTCCGCCACGGTGCAGGAGGCTGACTAGGCCACGCCCACCATGGCCACGCCCACCCAGCAACTGGGCAGAGAACTCTTTGCTAAAATTTTTGAAGCCCACCCCTACGTGGAGCCAGTCGCTCTCTAAACCCAACATTCCTCACGAGGTTGTTTTGAGGAAAATAAGAGGAGGAAGGAGTATGAAGTATGTTTGCTGCCTTATTTATAAAAGTAAACATAGTGCTACTTGAGGTGAGGCCCACTCCATCTTCTTGGCCTTCTGAAAAGGGCCTGAAAACCCAAAAGGGCATCCCACTCTGGAGGCGAGTAAACTATAAGATCCCATTTCCTCCACCCTGTAAGTCCTCGACTTACAAGTTTGTTTAGTGACCATTCGAAATTACAATGGCACTGAAAAAGTCACTTATGACTATTTTTCAGATTTATGACCATTGCAGCCTCCCCACAGTCACATGACCAAAATTCAGACGCTTGGCAAGTGACTCCTATTTATGACAGCTGCAGTGTCCCCGGGGTCATATGATCACCTTCTGCGACCTTCTGACCAGCACAAAGTCAATGGGGACATTAGATTGGCTCAACAACCATATTACTAGCTTAACGACTGCAATGATTCCAGTGGTGGTATTCTACTGGTTCGGCCCGCTTCAGCCGAGACGGTAGCAGCGGAGACCAAACCGGTTCTCTCCGCTGCTCTGCTGACTCTGCTTTTGGGTCCGCCCACCCGCCCAGGCTCTGATACTCCCCTTTATCCTCTGGATTTGAAGCGCAGCTGCTTTGCGTGGCACAGAAGAGTGCCGCGTGGCAGCTGCTGAAGCAACCGGGATCGTGCAGGCTTGCAGGAGGTGAGTTAGAATGCCTCTGTGCCTGCACAAACGCCTCTGCGTCTGTGCAAAGTGTGCATTTGGCACGCACACAAAGTGTGTGCATGCGCGCAAAACACACCCACCAATCCACGCCCACCAAACCGGTGGTAAAAATATTTGAATCCCACCGCTGAGTGATTCACTTAACTATGGCAAGACAGGTCGTAAAGTGGGGTAAAATTCACTTAACTGTCTCACTTAGCAACAGAAATTTGGGGCTTGTTTGTGATCGCAAGTCGAGGACTATTTCTATCGCTTCCTTTTTTAGTTTTTTGTTAATTTTTAATGCTCAAATGTTTAACATTCTAATGGTTTTATACTGCTACTTTATGATGATTTAAGCCGGAATTGCTCACAAGTGAAATGGGCGTGTGTGTGTGTTTGGGTATGTATGGATGTATGTATGTATGTGTATTTCAGTTATCCCATCTACATAAAATGTTTTGCGAGGTCTGTGAATGGGAGAGATAGAAATGCTATATTACATTACTGATGCTTTAGATACAGACTTCTTTGGTTTTATAGTCGATTGCTATTAATTAAGGTAACCATTTTTAAAATCAAGAGCTACATTGTCTTTGCTCAATCACTTACAGTCCTTTCAGTGTTCATTCCCATCAGCCCTACTTATTACTCTGCTGGCAAGAACGGATAAGTCATGGGGCTGAACATTTAAGAGTTCTACATGTTCTCTACCCCGACTTACAATGTAATTGAATCACTTGTGAAAGTTAAATTGTATGGATGTGCTCCTTGTCCCTGTGCTGAAGAGAACTGCAATTGGCTAAAATTGCTTATTTACCACGCTTCCAGTAGGAAATTGAAGTTTGATAACCAAATAATGGGTGGAATGATTCTATCTGTGGAATATCCTCTATCCAGATATTCCGCAGACGTTTGTCAAGAGTTCAGTTCTTGGGTGGGTGTGGGGAGAACCTCCGCTAAAATTATATGTTTATTAATGGTATGGTTTGTATTTTGCAGTCTAAATATCAAATTAATATTGATGGCACAGTGGCTGCATATCGGCTGCCATACTTGCTGGCAGGGAACAGCTTAGTGCTGAAGCAGGAGTCCATCTACTATGAACATTTTTATAATGAGTTACAACCTTGGAAGCACTTCGTTCCATTTAAGAATGACCTGAGCGATCTCATGGAAAAACTCCAGTGGGCGAAAGATCATGACGAAGAGGTAAAGGTGCATTTCATTAACAAAATTCTATTGATTGCCATGTTACCGGTCTTTGGTATTATGAAAGATGATTACTTCACACAGAGGGAAATTGGTTATATTTAGTTTGTCCCGTAGCAGTTGCCAGTTATAACTGTCATGAGAACATTTCAGAAACTGTTGTTGATCTTGACTGGCAGTGGCTTTCCAAGGTTTGAGGCAGAAATTGTTCCCTCCTCAGCTTAGCTGGCCCTGAGGCGTGACACAAAAATAACAAAGTCACAAAAGTAGAACAAATTCCCTTTAATGCCTCCAACTTGGCCCCAATGTCTAATTATCCTTGGCTTGATATCAAATTCTTCCAAAAACAGTCTACAAAGGGCAGAAATGCATTCTGAACCCAAAGTAAAGATAATTAGAAATAAAAAAAACCAACACAAACCACACTGAAGTAATTAACACGGCAGGCCAGGATGATAAATTGCAGGTTTTCAAAGCATAACGCAGCAACCGTAGTTGGGAGAATGCCAAAACCCAGATAAGCCTCGACCAAGAAAGTGCACACTTTGCTTCCAGCAAGGAGCTATGTGCAAACGCCCCACTTATATCCTATTCTCCCAGCTGCAACTAATGAAAGGGATCGGGGCCTTTTTCTCTCTTGTAAGCCATGTTGCTCCCTTTTCTGTTCCTCCCTGCGTGCCCTAGGATGAAGAGGGGATGGCCCTGGGTCTTCCTCTGAATGCCCAGCAAGACTGTGCCCTTCCCCCGTTTCTTCCACAGCCACCGGAGCCACGCTCGCACTCCCTGTCAGCTGCTCAATCTCCCCCTCAGAATCAGACTCCAACAAGGGCATGACAGGCCCTAGGACCTGCAAAGCACAGACTGTGATTCAGAGGAATCTGACTATTCAGAATTACGTTATCTAGACCAGGGGTGTCAAACTCAAGGCCCGGGGGACAGATCCGGCCTGTGGTGTGCTTAGATCTGGCCTGTGGGCCCATCCTGGAAACATCAAAGGACCGGCCCACGGTGCCTCTCAGCGAAAACAGAGCTCCATTTTCGCTGTCAGAGGGTTGCAGGAGGCTGTCGCGGCTGACAACAGAGCTCACATGGCCCTCCAAGCTTCGTTTTCGCTGGCAGAGGGTTACAGGAAGCTGTCACAGCCGAAAACGGAGCTTGCGAGCCCGTTTTCGCCGGCAGAGTGCTTGGACACCACAGGCGCCCCCAACATGAGTGACTTTGAGCTGGCCATGCCCACCCTGGCCATGCACATCTCGGGCTCCCAAGGTCGAGCACGACCCTGATGCAGCCCTCAATGAAATCGAGGTTGACACCCCTGATCTAGATCATTGTTTTGTAATGAAGATGTCTCTGCTAACTGAGGTCGCCCATCAAATGAAGGAAATATCATAGATGTATTTTTGGAAACTTATCTAAGCTAAGATGTTCTTAAAAGTGTTTCCACTACCTATAAATTTCTAAAATGTAAAATGAGCAAATCTGTCTTGTGCAAGTAATAATGTCATGTATGGATTAGGGTAGCATAGCAGCTTGTTTTAGGAATAGTGACGGGCCTCTTTTTGAAAAGCTGCCCACAATTCTAGAAACAGAATTGTAAGAACTGCAGAATTTAATGGAATGACATCTACCGGAGGATGGAAACTTTTGAAAACATGAAAGATATTTTGAAAAAAAGATAATAAATCAGATAAACTTTGACTTACTAAATTCAAAAGGAACAAGAGAAAATAAATATTACTTTTATTTTACATGGCAGCAGATACGTCTCAACAATAGAGACAACAAATCCATTCCTTAAATATATCAAATTCTATACCAAACAAATTTGGGAAAAACTGAAGAGTAACTAGATAAACTACAGCTTACGCAACAAAAGAAAGTTCTCAACAAACCAATTACTGAAAAGAAAACGAAGCAACATAAAAATTGAAATTGAATCATCTAGGACCAATGTTCATAAGACTTTCCAGGAAACTTGTCTGATGATTTGATTTGGTTTATATAGTGTGCATCTCACAAAAATCAATATAAATATCAAATGCAACCACACATACTTCAGCCAAGAGACCAAATCAGTCTAAACGTGGCATTACCATTAACAGAGGTAATGAATGATAATCAACAATATGAAAGACTTCGTTCTTCCTGGAAGGAAGCTTTAACTTCTCTGATTTATACATTGGGGAACTACCCGACTCATCCAAGATTGCATAGATCTATTTCAATATTTAATGTGGCTTATAAGCTTTGTATGGCCATACTTGGAAAGGATCGTACGTGACCTTCTAACTGAATTAATATGCTCTGATTGGACTGGATTTGTCTTGAAGAGCTATACCATTTGAGTGATAATTTTAGATGCATTTTGAATGCTCTTAACAATAAGAATCAGAAAAGTAAGAAAGTGGCCAAGATTTTTCTAGATAGAGAAATCTGAAAAAGGTTAACTGTGATATGAACTTTCTTACATAGATATGCCTATGTGGTGCTGTCTGTTGTATGGGTGTATGCCTTCTCTATAGCAATAGCATTTAGACTTATATACCGCTTCACAGTGCTTTACAGCCCTCTCTAAGCAGTTTACAGAGTCAGCCTATTGCCCCCAACAATCTGGGTCCTCATTTTACCGACCTAGGAAGGATGGAAGGCTGAGTCAATGTTGAGCTGGTCAGGATCAAACTTCTGGCAGTGGGCAGAGTTAGCCTGCAATACTACATTCTAACTGCTGCACCACCATGGCTGTTATAGTGGTGTCTTCCCTCTCAAATGACATTTACCCTTAAAAACTAGGTGGATCCCATTCCATCCCAGAAGACCTGGCTTTTCTCCCAGGGTGGTTGGAACCCTTTGCAGACGTATGACATGTTTATCTTACTGACTTACTGCTGTCTGATTATTGCCATTGTTATGTGTTTTTGTCTAGTTGTTGTTTGCTATGAACTTTCTTGGTCAATGTCCAAGTTGAAGCAAGCAAACAAACAAGCAGAGTTATGAAGTACCAGGCACTAATTCATTCGCATGGCAAGAACTGTCCGAATTATCATGTTAAGATTGGAAAGTATTGTGAATTTGGTACTCTGTAACATGAGCACAGTTTTCCTCCTCATCCCATCCCGTGTGTTTATTCTGGAACATCAAGCCTAAGGAACTTTTAAAAAAAACTTGAAATGATATCACTATTTTATATTTATTTCACAGATGACAGCATCTGTCTGATTTAGTATGGGCTTTGGAAATAAACAGATCAGATTTTGTTAGTATTTTGATGGAAGATATCCAGGAAATACCAGGGCTGTAGGCTAGCCCAGGAGTCAAAACATTACTTAAAAGAAAGCAGTGTCAAATCATTCTTCGGCTGCTGCCAGGAAGACCATATGGATGCATCCATCAAGTCAAATGAGTTGAGCTTGATTTGAGGAAGATTGTCCTGTCATGTAAAACTGAATCTAGTTTTTGATTCATACTTCTCGTTTGGTATCATTTATTATGGTCTTCTTGTATGCTATTGTGATGATCCAGAGCATGGCACGAAGGCAACACAGTCAGATAAGCAATAAGAGTCCCTTTATTATCTCCAACTTTGCCCCCATTGTCCAGGTTACCTTCTGGATAGAGAAAAACTCTCCCAGGAACAGCCTTTGACTGCAGAAAATTAAGTCCAAAACATGAGCAACACAAACTGTAACTTAAAGTCCAAACAAGCCAAAATGAAGTAATTACTTTGGCAGGACAGGAGCAAGGATTTCAGATTTGAAGGCATGGCAAAACTCACACAGTTGGGAAGATGCCAGGAACACAGATAAGCCATGACAAGACAGGATAAAGTCAGGTTTGCTCCCAACAGCCTGCCTTTCTTATCAACTGTCTTCTCAGCTATGGCTAATGAAGGGAATCAGGGCCCTTTCTTCCCCCGTAAGCCACACAACCCACGTTGCTCTCTTCTCCATTCCTCCTTGTGTTCCCTAGGATGAAGAGTGGGTGGGCCTGGTTCTTCCTCTGAGCTCCCTCTCCCTTGTTCTACCTCTCGCCTGCTCTGCCCAGCCGGACTTTGCCCTTCCCCAGCCTCCTCTAAAGCCAATGGAGCCACACTCCCACTCCCTGTCAGCTGTTCATCTTCCTCCTCGGATTCAGATTCTGACAGGGGCATAACAGCTATGAGCTTACTGGTGTTTTCTTGTTCGTGTTTCATAACCATGTTAGGTTGATTGGTTTATTTATTTATTTATTTTGTTCAATTTTTATAGCTGTGCATCAGGGAATGACGCTGGGTAGCACTGATAATATTACAGGTGGTCCTCGACTTACGGCCAGAATTGAGCCCCAAATTTCTGTGGTTATGTGAGACATTTGTTAAGTCAATTTTTACCCCATTTTATGACCTTTCTTGCCACAAGTTGTTAAGTGAATCACTGCGGTGGATAAGTTAGTAACCCAGTTGTTAATTGAATCTGGCTTCACTCTTGACTTTGCTTGTCAGAAAGTAGCAAAAGTGACTTTGGGACTGTGATGACCCGGGGCATGGCAGTCAGATAAGCAATAAGAGTCTCTTTATTATCTCCAACTTTTCCCCTAATGTCCAGGTTACCTTTGGCAAGAGAAAAACTCTCCCAGGAACAGCCTTTGACTGTAGAAAATTCAGTCCAAATCAAGGTACACACAAACTGTAACTTAAAATCCAAACAAACCAGACTCTTCCAAACTCTTAATTAGTTTGGCAGGGCAGGAGAAGGAATTTCAAACTTGAAAGCACAGCAAAACTCACACAGTTGGGAAGACACCAGGAACACAGACAAGCCACGATGATACAAGATAAAATCATGTTTGCTCCCAACAGCTTGCTGCGCGCAGCTTGCCTTTTTTATATACTGTGTTCCCAGCTGCAGCTAAGGAAGAGAATCAGGGCCCTTTCCTGCCCCGTAAGCCATGCAACCCATGTTGCTCTCTTCTCCATTCCTCCCTGTGTGCCCTAGGATGAAGAGGGTGTGGGCCTGGGTCTTCCTCTGAATTCCCTCTCGTTCTACCTCTCTCCTGCTCTGCCCAGCCGGACTTTGCTCTTCCCCAGTTTCCTCCACAGCCAACGGAGCCACACCCTCATTCCCTGTCAGCTGCTTCGTCTTCCTCCTCCGAGTCAGATTCCGACAGGGGCATGACAGGGACACAGCAACGGTCATAACTTTGAAACATTTACCAAGCATCTGCATTTGGATCACCTGATCATGGGGAGGCTGGAAAGGGCAGCCCAGTTGTAACTGTGAAAAATGGTCATGTCACCCCCACTGAACAAATGATTATCCAGAAAATTCTAGAGTGCGCTGAAATGGACAAACTAACCCAAACATTAAAAAATAAAGAATCCTCAACCTATTATAACAATTGGAATCCTTGGTATAATTGGCTAGATCAAAGATAGATCACTTCGAGAAGAATCTTAGCCAAGGGCAGCCCAAGTAGAGATAACGAAAAGTACCGCCTACGACACATTTGAAGAAGAAAGGATCTTACAGACAGTCACAAAAGACATGGTTTTATTTTAACTGTCTCCCTGTCCTACCCCCCGTCCTCTACCCTCCCTTCTCCTCTCCCATTCTCCTTTCTTTCTTTCCTGGCCTCTGTCAAGGCCTGTTGTTTTTTCCTGTATATTATTTGTAGATGTGTTGTTTTTAATGGTAAAATTAATAAAGTTTCTTTTAAAAAAAAGAAAAGAAAAATGGTCATGTATCATTTTTCAGTGCCGTTGTAACTTTGAACAGTCACTAAACCAACTATTGTAAGTAGAGGACTACCTGTAAATGGCATGTTCGTGAAGCTCCTGCAAGAAGAGAAACAAACTCAGAGCACACCAAGAGCCAGCAGGTCAACTCTGAGCTATGTGCGTTCTCCACTGTTGCTAGCATTACCGCTAATTAAGGAATGCTAGTAGTTTAATATTTCTTTTGAATTAATTCTTCCAGTTTGATTTATTTTGAGCTGTGCTCCTTGGAAACTGATTAATGTGTAGATGGGAACGGGTGGAAAAGGAAACCTAGGAAAACTAAAGTTTAAATATGAACACACATTAATTCAGTATTTGAATATGAAATATGAATATAATTGAATATAAATATGAACACACATTAATTCAGTATTTGAATATGAAATATGAATATAATTGAATATAAATATGAACACACATTAATTCAGTATTTGTTCCACCTGTCTTCCCCACTCCATTTTTCTTCTTATTAGGCAAAGGACATTGCAAAAGCAGGACAAGAATTTGCAAGGAACGCTCTCATGGGAGATCATATATTCTGTTACTATTTCAAACTATTTCAGGTCAGTTTCATTTTTCCTTGGTGAACATACAATGAAATCTGCCGAGACAGGTAGGGGATTAATAGCGGGCCCCAGCTTTATTTCATTTTAAAAATCAATACTTCATTTTGCTATCCGTTAAGGGACAGCTTCTTTTGAGTTTCTCTATGAGAAAGTGGAACTACCCAGTGCATAAGCTAACTGAAGCCTCTTCTATCCCCAGTAATTTCTGAAAGCAGGGAATGAAAAATAACACATGAAAAAAATATATGAAAACCCATGTGGGTGTAAAAATGGATGGAAAAGAATTAACATTACAGTTTAATGTTAAATTTCAGTTACTCTTACTATCATTTTTTTTTTATAAAACAAGTTTTATTGGTTTTAAAGACAAACAAAACATAAGACATCAAAGTATAAAACCTCCTTTCTCAAAAATTACTTATAAGTTTTAACAAGGCAAATAAAGCATTATTTTTTAAGGCATAGTTCCACATTATCACATTTCCATTTAAACACGTATATATCTTTTCCAAATTTCTCATTGTTTCTCCCTTCACTTTTATTCAATTATATTTCTTTCTATCAAGGTTTTGTTAATTCTCAATCAAGCATAAACACACAAAATACAAAACATAAAACAAGACATAAAAAGATAAAACCTCCTTAATTATCATTTATACATGTCTTTTCCAAATTTCTCTCCCTTTAGTTTTATTCTTCCAAGGTTTTATTAATTCACAATCAAAACATAGTTAACCAAAACATAAAACATAAAACTTCTTTTGAAAAGTGGCTTAGCCCCGGGTTACATCTTTTTTTACAGACCTAAATCAAGTTCATGCTCACCTACTCTTACTATCATTTGAGGTGACGAAGCTTTGCTGAAATATATTGGATGCTTTCCATTATTTACTATTTCAAGTAAGCGTATTAGGCTTCTAATTGTTTTCCTCCAAGGTTTCCTAATAATGTGATCAGCACTCCTAGGCTTACGAACAATAGTGGGATTCAAATTTTTTTACCACCGGTTCTGTGGGCGTGGCTTGATGGGCATGGCAGGGAAAGGTTACTGTAAAATCTCCAGTCAGGTGTGGTATTTGCCGGTTCTCCAAACTACTCAACATTTACACTGCTGATTCTCCAGAACTGGTCAGAACCTGCTGAATACCCCCTCTGCTTACAAACAAATGGATTCTTGGCACTGTAGCATTTAAAAGAGTAAAAATTGTTCAGAGGAACATATTTATTTGATCATTTTGGAGCTGATTTTTTTAGAACACTTCTAGTAGAAAATAATAGCATTTTAAGATTAACCGTTGTATTTATTTTATTTATTTAACTTTTTAAAATTTGACCCCACTATTTTAATTAGGTGTATCTCAATAGTTAGGTAGAACTCCAGAAAGAGTTATTGGACCTCAATAGCAAATAGATACTTTTAAGAAATGTGATTAGAGTGTTGAGTTCTTTTATCTGTGAATGATAGATTATCAGCCTATCCTAGGAATATTATCATTAGATGTAGAGTCACCTGAGGGTAAAAAATATTCTCCATCCTTGATGTTAGTTGTCATAGCTTTCACTGAAAGGTCTTGTGTGAAGGCAACAAGTCTTTGTGAGTTGAGCACTCAAAGAGGTCTCCATTTCTTTGATGACCTTCATTTATTTAATTCCATCAATCCCCACATTCTGTCCAAAGAGCTAGGTCAATATATTGACTTTTCTCCTTCCTCATTTTTCCTCAATACAACAACCTTAAGTAGTAGATCAGGTTTCCCTCTCTGTAACATTACATTAATGGTTACCTTACAACTCATAAAGAGCAGGATATCACCTGAACTAGATAATTGAATTCGTTCATGCATTCCCATAACAAATAGGTACTTTCTCTAGGCCCATATTTATTATCTCTAACATGGTTTATTTTATGGATTATGCATTCAGCTACATTAGAATTGAACCCAGACTGTCTAAATTATAGGGGAACTTTTAAAAATGCACCAGTAACAGTTTTATTGGTAGAATCTGCAAGTGAGCATCTTGGAAATGTTATGTCACAGGTGTCAAACTCGCCGCATCACGTTGCCATCACATGACATTTTGTGATATTTTCTTCGCGAAGCTGGGATGGGTGTGGCCTGCTCATGATGCATTCGGCCCGCGGGCAGCCAGTTTGACACCCCGGGGTTATGTCCTAAATTCAAATAAGTGTTCGCTAAGGATGCATTTGACCTTCTACAGATCCCTTTCTAAAGAGAGGATGGGATCTTCAAAACAGCTGTCAGTAAAGATTATAAAGAGCTGAACGTTAGAGAGCCTCTTCTAAAACAGAGACTGTGTGTTAACAGAAGTGATGATATTTCAGCAAGTCACCTTGTAGTGATATTGAATCTTAAAGAATCCAAACTTCCTAAAGCAGTGTGGGCCATTTGTCGTACTAAGACAGCAGTACACAATGTTGGTCAGCTCAAGGACCATCCCAGGTTTTGTGTGGTACGTTCAGGGCCCATACTGAGAAAGTTTTCTGGAATTCTGATGAGTGAAATAGATGCTGAAAGCATTGGGAAGACTTTTGACCCTTGAAAAGCTACTTAAGCCTTCTCAAATGCATGGAAAGATTCCGATGTAGAACTCAAGGGTTGTTGGCTTTTTGCCCCTTTAACAACAAGTGGTCATTGTTTGCAGGAACAAGACAAGGGGCAAAAATATTCTTCTTTATTTTGTTTCATTAGGAATATGCCAAACTACAAGTGAGTGATCCCAAAGTGAGGGATGGCATGGAGAAAGTGGTACAGCCTGATGATGACCTCTTCCCCTGTAATTGTCACCGAACAAAGGTATAGCATGTACAAGTTAATATTTTAGGAGTTGGTTGTTGAATATCCTGACCTGTTCTTAATGAGAACATTGTTATGCCACTCGGGCTCTTAGCTTCATAACATAATCGTTGCAGTGCCAAAATGGTTTTTTTCATGGCTTTTCTTGTACCAGGAAGAGGGAAGGAAGGAAAGGTTTTAATACATCTAAACTAAATCTGAAGATATAAGCTAAAACCTGCCAGGGTCAAGGAGAGGAACGGTTTGTATATTCAGAAAAAACTAGAATTGATGGTATTCTACATGAAGAAACTATATTATCTGATCCTTTACTGATTTGAAACTTGTTTTCAAAATGCAAGGCTGTGACTCGAGTCAAAATGTATTCCTTTAAATATCTATTACTCCCCTAATTAAATTGTATTTCCAAGATGAGATGAGGATATTACAAATTAAAAACAGAGGCAAAAGCTATTTAAAAGGGGAATTGCAGTAGCTTCCTCTAAATATCTTTTGCAAAAGGGAGATTTATGAGACCTATGTGGCTTTAAATATAAGACCTATACTATCTGTAGGTGCATCACTTGGGGACATTGCTATGGTCCCATAAAGCTATTCTAATTGATATGAACAAGCATTGAATTCTAAGTTCTTTCCTCATCTTGATATCTACATGTCCCAGATACTACCTACAAGGAAGCCTTACCTTTCTTTGAAGACAGTTTCAGATCGAATAGATAGATTTTGTTCTATTGTACTTTATTAATTTATTTGATTCTTTTTATTAGTTTTTATTGTTTTTTATTTTAAATATGGTTTACGTTCTGTAAGCCAGGGGTCCCCAACCACTGGGCCGCGGACTGGTCCCGCTCCGTGGAACATTTCCTACCGGGCCGCCGGTTTGCTGGGCGCCGCCATCTTGTTTGACGAGAAAGTGCTTCCGGGTGAGCTTTTCCGGTTGGAAAGCGGCGTTTGGGTCCTGAAGGAAGCCTTGCGCCTTAGTTTCATCGAAGGGGGGGGCTTCGAACGAAACTAAGGGCGAGGATTCTTTCAGCACCCAAGGCAAGGCGAGCCGAGCGACCGTCCAGAAGCCGTCCCGAAGCGAAGCCCATCGACAAAGGTACAAAGGAGGAGTTGAAGGTGGCGGGGAGAAGCGAGGGACGGTCGTTCGGCTTTCCTTGCCTTGTCATGTGTGCTGATGCTGGTACCGGGCCACGGATCATTTTGTGATGCCGGTATCGGGCCGTGGCACAAAAAAGGTTGGGGGCCACTGCTGTAAGCTACCTCGAGCCACCATGGGCGAATAGGCAGCAATGTAAATTCAATAAATAAATAAATAAATAAAACCCATTATTGGAAAATATGTGTTAACTACAAAGGGAAATGGCATAGCAGAATAAGGTATTTTAAAACACATACGAAGTTAAATAATTCAGTGTTATAAAAGCTTTGATACCCAAGTTTCACCTTACTTGCAGGTCAAAGAAGAACTCTGATGGGACAGGAAAACTTGTGGCTGGAAAAAATTATCTAATCACCTTCTGAGGGTAATAAGTTACTAAGAATGAAATCATCTGGATGCCCTCTTTTGTGCAGTATTAATACAACATTGCTTTTTATAAGCTCTTTTTTAATAAAATAAATAAATATTCTTTCCATAAATTTGCGGTCACTTTTATTTGATGACAAAGTTTGAACATCCTTTTGATTAATTATGAATTTATTACAAAACAGCTAGTATATAATAACACGTTTGATATCTATAGTGGTAACATTTCTAAATATGGAGAAACTGTATGGATGTCACTTAGAGCAGGGATTCCCCAATCCGTGATCCATGGACCGCTACTGGTCCGTGGCCTGTTGGAAACCGGACTGTGCAAGTGGCGGGTGA